TAGGTTCCTTGTCTTTGCGTGTTATCTTGTTGCCTGTTCATGCAGTAACAAGGGTCACAATGCAAGCTGTAGCAGCGATTCTCTCGAAATGGTGGACCATCTCATTCATTGATTGACACATACATGTCGTACAATTACAGGCCACAAATGCATCAATTGAAACAACAAACATGAATACAGAAAACAAGTATCAGGTGTTTGCTTGGAAGCGCTGCCTGATCAATCGTTCAATCTGGTGTCTGTGTTAGATTGGTGTTCACAGGTTTGTATTTGTCCACTGACTCTGGTTTCTCGAAATGACAACACAATGGTGTGTCTGTCACCGTGCATGATCAATGGCTTGGAGTCTTCCGGAGTCTTGGAGCACCCTTCTTCTTTCAGCTGTACGCGGTCGTCCCATTTGCGATCAAGCGCCATGTTCTCCTGAATGGGCACAGAACGGTCAACAATACCCACGCAACATCCAAAAAAATGCAAAACCAAAGTCCTTGGACTGCTGCAAAACACGGTCTTGCAGCTTTGAGATCTGAGAGAGAAGCACATTGCGGCAGTCATTTCCCGGTACCAAGTTTTACAGTTTGCTCTCCAAGGCGATGGCAATCTCTGTCTTTTCCTTGAGTTCTCGATCTCGATTCTTTATCAGAATCTGGCACACGGCTTTGGAATGTTGCTCATGTGCAATCTCGAATTGGACCAGTACAACGAAACAATTGCTGTGTAATTCAGTTGCTGGCAATGGCCCATGTTGATGCCTCGCATCTTCGCGTCACTTCATCCAACCGCATTTCCATGGCCTTGCACGACAACTCAAACCAAAGAACAATGCTGCCAAATCTGTTTGAACATACAAAAATTGCCGAAGCCTGCCAGAAAAATTCACAAAACAAATAAACCGTCCTGCATCTTCTGCTTGGGATGAGTAGGCGCGGCTTCTTGCTCCACAATCTCATCCTGGGATATCTGGATGGCCCAGCTCCAAACAGCTAAGACTTTAAGACTGCGGCTCTCTGGCGCCGAAGCTTCGTGTTCTCTTTCACGAAAAGATCCAGACCTTCCTGAGCAGCACTGTGAACGCGCCAAAAAAAACAATGCGAGGCGCCTTTGTTGCCTTCAACTCTTCTTCAAGCTCCTTGAATTCAAAGAATTCAAACCACTTCAAAGAACCATGATTCTTCCCTCCAACTCCTGTTGTCTGTCTGAAACCTGTTCTCGAGCTTCGGCCTGCTGCCAGCGCAAAAGGCGAGAAAATCACACGCAAAATCACCGAATGCTGGGCCTGCCTTTTCCTCCTGCATGGTCTTGATTTTGTCTTGCAGCCTTCTCACATCCTCCTGCTCTTCATTGCAGGCAAGACTGATTCACACGTTCGAAACCCTGCCGAATGAGTGCGAGCCTCCCTCTCTGCCACCAGAGCCACCCACGGCTCCATCTTTTTCTCGTACCTATGCCAGCCACATTAAGCCGTGCCAAGGTCGTGTCGAGGAGCTACTTGGGATGCGGACTCCTTCTCCAAGCTTTGAAGCTTTCTATCCAGCTTCTGGATCACCTATCCAAAAAGACACTTCAAGTGCTGAGAAAGGCAGAATGTTTCTTCGAACAAAGCCTCCTCAAACCCTTCCCGCATCCTGAAGGCAGAAAAGCACTGCTGATTGCAGCCGCAAACGTTTGTGCAACACAGTGTCTGGCTGTACTAGCAAGACAACTGAGGCTATGCTAACATGCTAAAAGCTATGACCTGTCCCACCGCTGTCCTGTCGACATTGTCGCTATGCGTTTGCTCTTTCGTTCTGAAGTCATGCACCAGCAAGTCGTAGCCCTTCTCCTTGGAAACCGGTCGTGGCCGAACACCAAGCAAGCTGATTTTTCTCCTTGATTTCAACCTGCTTCTCGAAGGGAGTGTAGTCCACCTTGCACATGCTTTGCAAACATGCAAGACGTGCAAAAATGGGAACGTGCAACAACCACAATGGGAACAGATTCGCTCATGGCCTGCGACAGCTGCACCTCCAAGCCCTGCTTTTGCAGCTCCAGCTCCTGAGCAAAACGGCACGTCAAAAAGCTGAAGGCAAGCAGCAGAACAAGTGAAAAAACAGGAAGCAAAGTACGGCTCAACGCAGGCATGCCTTGATTTGCTTGATGTACGGGCCTGCAATTTTGTCAGACCTTTGACAGCACTTGCATTCAAGCAATCTTGCTGCAAGATTAATTACCTCAAGATCATGTTGTGCCCAGCCAAGAGGCTCTGCTTCAATCTCCCGTATCTTGATTTGTAACTTTAGCACCTTGGCACAGCCGGTGTTAGAATAAATCCTATGCCGTCCATGTCAGGCGTGATTGGCGTGCACAACTGCAATCAAAATCTACATCATGCATTGTGCGACTCCCTTCCACCCAGTGTCAAAACATGCTGCCTCCTTATGGTGGTCCTCCTTCGCCTTAGCTTGTGTCTCACACTGGTGACAGTGACAATGATCGGCAGCAAGAGCCAGAAAACACTAGCTGCACAGGCATTCCTCAAGTAACAAAACACTGCCCATACTTGGCATAAACCACCAAAGGCCGGTGCTTTTGATACCTCCTCCTGCCACTTTTCCTTGATCTCCTGTGTGACCAGCTTGGCTGCACTCGCTAGTCAAACGCCTTCTGTGCAAAACAAGACATTAGGCAATCTGTTGTCGCGCATGGCATCAAGAATCCAGAGGCAATGTCAGAGTTTCATCCGCTCTACGCAACGCGGCCATTTGCAGGTCGCAAAGCATCTGCAAATTCAAGTCCGGTTGCCAGCTCTCCTCTACTTCTTCCTGCAAATGGAAGACCTCCTTCTGAATGCTCTTCGCACGTTCCTGCCGAGAGCATCAAACACTCTCTGGCTTTTGCGCTGCAAAATCATCGACTCGTGAATCATTCACTTTCTACCTCTGCTGCTTTCAACTTTTTCTCGCCCTCCACACGCCTCACCGCGCATGTGTCAGTTTATAGCCTTCACTGCTCCCCCAAGCTTTGGCATGCAGAGAGCGCTGCACAGGTTCGATAGCTTCAACTGCTTCTCGAAGACGTACTTCTTGGTGGCTTGCCTTATATCTAATTCTCGAACGGAAAGGATAAGGGGCACAACTGCATCACCGTCCGCAAGCCAAGTCCCAAGCAGCCTCTTGCAGCTTCAATATCTTCGCATCTCTCTTGGAGATCTTAGTATCTAAGACTTCATGACTGTGCACTGTGCCTCGGACCAACCTCATCTCGCCATGGCTTGTCGCCCTTGCTCAGTTGTGCTTTCAGAGCCCGGATCTGCAACAAGTGCACGAGCAAGCAAGGCTCGCAAACAGGAGTGAGACAACTGTGACTGACACGCAAATGCCAAGATTGAAAGCGTTGAGCACCACCAGCCTCATCTATGTAGGGCAGCTTGTCTTTCTCTCTATTTGTCTGGCCACGCTCAGGCAACATTTCATGGTTGGTCTGTGATATGCCGCACATGCAGCTGATGGCACTGTTCAACATTGTAAACATGAGTGGCTCTTGTACAAATGATTGGCTCAATACTACGTGAAGCAACACTCCAATGGCAAATCTATTCGAAAGCCCGGGAAACCTCCAAATTGCCCTCTATCAAGTTCAAATAGTATCAGCATTGTCTGCGCAGAGTTGCCCTTAGAAACGCATGTGCTCCAGAGCCTTTTCAGCTTCCAGCTGCTCCTAATGCAGGGAAGCCGATGAGTTGACTGGATAACTGCCAAACGCAAGCTCCTTTGCAAGCTATAAGTCTGTCCTGCAACTCGCGAGTTGCATTCAGGAGCTGCTGGTACGATCGCCCTGCACACCTGCAGGCACGGTTTACACGGCGCCACAAGGTGATTCAGCCTGATGACGCATTCATGGGGAAAACCTGCACGTATTGTTTTTGAAGATGGCACCATGTCGGCATCTCACTTGGTGTCCCTGGAATTTGCAGGATATCCAGATGCTTTGCTCAGATTCTTGCCTGAGCTGAATGGACAGCTCCTTCTGAACAGCAAGAGCCTCCTTTTCCCGATCTCTGAGCTTGGCCTGCAGCATGTCATGTTCAACATGCTGAAGTTGTTGACGCATCAAAGTCCGGCCTTTAGGGATTCCTGCTCAAGTCTGGCCTTCTGCCTTTCCCTGTCCACGTGGTCCTTCGAAAGTTGCTGTGGACAGAACCCAGCTCGCTGGAGTTTGCCTTGCCCTTGTGTAGCCAATCTTGATTCAGAGTCGCAACAAGGGGAAACATGGGAAGGTTGCGGCCCTTCATGATGGTCCATCAATCGCCCTAAATGATTATCATTAGTCACTGCAATGGCTCCCTTCGCTATGGCTCCAAATCAGTATTTGGGATACCTGCTCTGGAAGCCCTACGGAAATGTATATATATATATATATATGTGCATATATTCTACATGTGAATGCATTGCTCACTCAGCAACATCTACGAAGAATGCAAAAAACTTTGCTGCGCGAATCCTTGAAATATGCAATCGTTGCAAAGATCTGGATTGTCCCTGAAAGGCCGCGACCAACAAACAGGCCGAACATGATTTTGCACATCCGTGGCTATGTGACTGCTACAGTAACGCACCAATACGCAAAGTACCCACGTCCAAGAGTGACGGTCATTTGGTCCGGGCAAACCGCCCCGCGGCAACCCAACATGCTGCACTAGCGTGGGCAACTTAGAGTATGCACACAAAAGTCCTTGATGATGCCAACTTCGTGAATCAACCCAGCATACCTCCAATTTGCTCGAGCAGGGTAAAGAGGGACAAATCTGCATGCATGCCAACCACAAGAGGATTGAAACACCACCGAGCAAAGAACTTCTTCATGTTGGGTCTTTCGGCAGCACTTGGACCTGATCAAGCAGAATATGAATGAGCACCCTCATTGGAGCAGCTCAGCTTGCGGCTCTCTTCTGCAGGCATTTTGCTGCAGCAAGCAGATTCTCATGTACCACGTCAATACAAGCAGTGGGCTGCTTGTATCGCAGCACAAGCGTGTGCTTCTGCGTGTGTTTCCTATAGGCGAAGTTCGCAGTATGTTGCTGTTGCTTTTCTCACAGCATGTCAAACAATGACTGTCCATCTGTGAGCAAACGCATCACTTGGATCCATGTGGCCGCCAGAGTAAAAGACTGCAAGCACGCACAACAGCACGAACTGATTCTCTTCAAAATGGCCCAGGTTCCCCATATTGCCTGCATGATAGGCGTGCCACATGCCACACCTTAAAATGGAAAACCGAGTGTGAACAATTGAGCGAGAATACTTGGCTGAGTGATGGCCGGCGGTATGCAACCTTCGAATTCCGGCCAAATAGACAACCATCAACACCAGTATGCGACACAGCATGAAAATTGCATTTGCATTGCATAACATGAAAATGTGTCAAGGGCAATCCATGCAACAAGGACCTGAAGCATGAGCAATAACCTCAAGCCCAAACAATACGTCTCAAACAAAGCATCTGTTAAAACCTGCCTCATTGAAACACAACAGACTTCCAACCTTCATTATCTGCCACTCATGCTGAGCAAATAGAGGAGCTGCCACACAATTTTGGTCAATGCATCCACATGTTTGTTGCCTGCCACTATCACTATTTGCTTTGCAAAGGTGTCGCTCAAAATGTCCCAAAATCTGTTCTTGGCACGTTGCAATATTGAGCAAAGATTTATGAATTGCGCGGAAGAATCAGGCAAAAAAGACACTAATAAACACCACACTGCACACACACACACACACGTATGTCCAAAGTCGCGCAAAGTCAAGCAAACACAAAATTGGATCAAACACAGGCAAATAAATACACACACTGTCACACACGCGCACAGACAAACGACTGCATCAAGCAAAGGGCTTAAAAACTGTTGTTTCAGAACTGCGAAGGCCAAAAGGCCCAAACTTGAGAGGGCCCCCTTTCAATTCAGAACACCGAGTTTGTAGTCATAGAAGGGCACGCGGACAACATCAACTTGTGCCCCTAAGAAGCAATCACTACCCAGTCTGTGTTTTTATTTTGTCCGCATTCGCCTATGAGTCAGTCTATGTTACAGCTTGCCTAGCTCCAGAGCAACCAGCGCAGGTCTGTAGCCAACTGAAAAGCACACACAGTCAAGTGCACTTGAACAGAACTGTCGCCACGATTGCCCACTCATGCGGCTCCAAGCCCGCAACCCCATGTTTGCTTCCCCGCACACACTTTTCGTTGAGACAAGTCGCTGTTAGGTGCAACTTTGTCGAGTTTCAACCCCATGCCAGCCCGCAATTTGTGCGTGCGCAAATTTCCGGTACGACCACGCAAATTTCCGCAATTGCGTGCAAATACGAAAAGTGTGCACATTCTTCCTCGAATTTCGGACCTTTTCAGGCAGTGGAAGCTGCGCCGATCCCTTTCAAGCTGAAGCGGTGCTTGGATTCTTTGAATCTCAAGCTGACACTTGTTTCTCTTATCCATCAAGCTTGTCCAAATGCAAAGCTAAGCCCGGCAACGCCCAACAGGCGGGCAAATGCTCTATCTTCAGAAAGGGGAGTCTCTACCTGCCAAGGAGGGGTTCCGGCGGACAATCGGACAACGAAGAGAACCTGGCATGACAAGCACACGCCACATCACTCGTCACAAATAAGCACGATCAACCAACCAAAGAAAAGGAGGCGTGGTGCGCGTGCGCGTGTGCGTGCGCGTGCGCGTGTGCGTGTGCGTGTGCGTGTGCGTGCGCGTGTGCGTGCGCGTGCGCGTGCGCGTGCGCGTGTGCCTGCGCGTGTGCGTGTGCGTGTGCGTGCGCGTGTGCGTGTGCGTGTGCGTGCGCGTGTGCGTGCGCGTGTGCGTGCGCGTGCGCGTGTGCGTGCGTGTGCGTGTGCGTGTGCGTGTGCGTGTGCGTGCGCGTGCGCGTGCGCGTGCGCGTGTGCGTGTGCGTGTGCGTGTGCGTGTGCGTGTGCGTGTGCGTGCGCATGCGCGTGCGCGTGCGCGTGCGCGTGCGCGTGCGCGTGCGCGTGCGCGTGTGCGTGTGTGTGCGCGTGCGCGTGCGCGTGTGCGTGTGCGTGTGCGTGTGCGTGTGCGTGTGCAAGTGCGTGTGCGTGTGCGTGTGCGTGTGCGTGTGCGTGCTCGTGTGCGTGTGCGTGTGTGAATGCGTGTGCGTGTGCGTGTGCGTGTGCGTGTGTGTGTGTGCGGAGTGGCAGAATACCCTGCCACCAAAACCTTTTTCCGCTGCAGCAGGGGGCCCGCGAGCAACTGGAGGGCGCGGGCCCTAGAAGACCCATCCAGTTTGCTGCGCAAACGTACCTGCAGAAGTGATTCAAGGTCCGTTCGGTCTCCTCCCTGAATCGCACAGATGAGAGGGTTTTTTTGACATCGGGGGTGAGCACGCCATCCCCTTCTTTTAGAAGAACTCGCAGGCACACCAGGAAGAAATTACACCCCTCTACCAGTATTTGGGGAGTGGAACGGGCAGGAAACGGAAAATGGCTTCAGAAGAGTGAATTCACACAAAGGGCGCCCTCCACAACCCACCCCATCTTGAGAGGTAGCACCAACGGTCGGTTAGAAAATGTGCCAACTCACATGAAGTCGTCAAACCAAAACTGTCAGAAGGAGCGTAAGTTCAAAAGCTCCACCACCTCAAAGCAGTCCAGCGTCAGCCGTGAAGCTTTTTGACGTAGAGACCATCAACATGATTGCCTCACCAGCCATTAAGATTGCACTATCTTTGAAGAGGTGTCCCATCTTCAGACAGAGGAGTCCACCGGGAAGGCCCCGGACCCTGACGGCAAAAGGGAAAGTTAGGTGGAAAGGGAGGCAAGAACATAGCGAGCTTTATGCCTTCAACTTTGCCTATGCGAACAATGCGCCGCAGAAGCACGATCAACCATCCAAAGAAGAGGATGCGTGGTGGGAGAGCCGACAATGTGTCATTTGGCACAGACTTTGACACTGGACTCCAGAGCAGAGATTTCACCCTGACTGGCTCGCAAGGAACCAAAGGCAAGATCCTTGTCACCTTCGCCAACAAGTGCCACCTGCCAGCCTCCAGGCGCATCCCTTACTGAACGAGGCCACGTGTACTTTGGATTGTGGGTGAGGGGAAACTTTTCCATGATGCTTGTCTAACATCAAGAACCTCCGACTCTGCAAAAGCTTGGGGGCTCAAAGCTTCCAGCACCCACAAATTTGTGTCTTCAGAATTCAAGCCGTTAACCGACGAGCTTCGAAGACAGCTACCAACTAGACAAAACCAGCACCCACCAAGAAGTTCTGGGCTCTGCTCCAACCGCGTTAGACTGCACTTTGCGGGCAGCGGTTCTGTGGACAGGTTGGAGAGGTGGCTGCCTGTCCAGGGGGGCGCCTGGAAGTGCTGCTGCTACCTGATAAAGACCTACGCAACTGGCACAAAGCCGCCACGCGCTGGTCAACAGCTTCGTCTTCCACACACGGCACACGCCAGCGGCCAGCTGCTGGGGCACAGTAGTGTCCGTAAGTGACGAAGCGAAGTGGCAAACAATTGGTCTTATCCAGAGCACCCAAAAGTCTGGGAACGCCGAGACCCTGGCCGCAAGGCATGACGCTGCTGCTTGCCTGTGTCCAGGCTGGCACCGACCCGTGTTCCACCTGCGGATCCCTTGGAAGCTTGGAGCTGTGCGGAAGGTGAAATTTTCGTTTGGCAGTGGCACTGGCTCCGACGCTTCGTCTCTGCTCCCGGTACTGCTGCTGCGGGTGCAGCATCCGGTGGCTCTCTGATTGTGACAGTGGCCTTGGCTGGGCGGCGTCTTGCTTCCAGTCCGTCTCTGGCAGGAGGTCCAAGTCCAGCATCGGCGGTCTTGCCCACCCAAAACCCTTCATGCCCCTTAAACCCACTCAGCCTCCCCCAAAGTTTGCTGAGAGCCAAACCCTCCTGACCCTCTTCTTAAGCCGCCTTTCGGTTTCCCTTCCTTAAGCACTTGAAGCCCTTCCCCCAACGCGCCCAGGTCGCAAGCATCCCTCTCTGCATGAGAATGCGTTGTCGCCTCCGCAGAGCCTCGCTTGGCCTCCGCTCTGCCTCCGCTGCGCCTGCGCTGCGCCTTCGCTCCGCCTGCTCCGCCTCCGCGCCGCCTCGGCTCCGCCGCTCCGGCTCCGCTCCGGCTCCACTTCAGCCTCGCTGCGGCTCAGCTCCAACCCCGCTTCGGCTCCGGCGTCAACAACAGCAGGCCACAGATAGTGCAAAGTGGCGGAGCGTCTTTGTGGTCCGGTCAACCTACACAAGATGTGGCGCTGCAAGGACGAGGCCCTGCGGAAGAAGTTGGAGTTGCTGCGCACCGCGGCCCCCACGCCCGACCAGTTGGCGGACATCTGCCGGGGCCTGCGGAAGCCAGTCTTGGGAAACCTGGGCCTGGACTGGGAAGCCAATCCCAGCAACTACGAAGAAACCCGGCAAGAGATCTACGCCGGGATGCGAGTTCACCTGACGCGCAATTAACGTTTACAAGCAGCTGGATTTCGTGAACGGGATGGGGGCCACAGTCCGCAGCCTGGACCGCGCCTCCGGATGCCTCCACGTGACCATGGCCACCGGCAGTGGACAGAGCACCTTGAGGACGACCGCCGCGTTTGCGCAAGCTCCGTCACGCGACGATCTGGCTTGACGTCAGACGTTTCAAGGCCGGCGGCTACGTTGCGATGAGTCGGGTGAGAGACACCGACTACCTGCTCAGCAGGCTCCTGGACCCGGAGCACTTCACGCCAGCCCACTGAAGGACTGGCGGTGTCGAAAAGACAGCTCAAGATTCCCAGTCAAAGCGAACACCAGAAAACGCTTTGCGCCCGGCTCCACAGCCCGGAAGCTCTGCCTCGGAAGGCCCAAAGAAGTGAAACGGTCAAAAAGTGGAACGGCCAAAAAAAAGTGTAGGATTTAGCGTCTCTACCTTTCTAGAGTAAGGGCAGCACTGCCTAGGGCCAGTTTAGCAGCCGAGCTTGCCTCGGACGCTCCGCTGGCGCTCCGGCAGCCTCGCCCATATGG